GTTCCTGAAGGTTGAGAGGGAGAACAAGAAGGGCCTTTAGCCCGGCGCGGTGACTCACGCCTTTAATCTAGCCACTCTGGGAGGCCGGCAAGCGGGTGGATTGCTCTAGGTCGAGGAGTTCGAAACAGCTGAGCAAGAGCGAGACCCGCGTTCTACTATAATAGAAAGATTAAATTGCCAATCAATATATATAGAAAAAAATTAGCTGGCATGGTGGCAGATGTCTGTAGTCCCAGCTACTTGGGAGGCTGAGGCAGGGAGGATCGCTTGAGCCCAGGAGTTTGAGATTTGCTGTGAGTAGCTTGCTTGTATTCTTGCTCTCTTTCATCTTTTAGGCTAGCAAACAAAGTGACTCTGTCTAAAAAAAAAAAAAAAAAGAAGGGCCTTTACTCCCATGGTTACGACGTTTTCTATGGGGCTAGTGATGAGTGGTAGATGCAAAGAAGCCTTGAGGAACAAAATTTTAAAGGGGAAAAAATGGGGCATTCATAAATGAGCAGAGAACCATGGCAGCTTCTCTACTTTGAGGTAGGCACCTGGTCTAGATATAGGTAATCTTCCTATTAGACAAATGCATTTTATCAGGCAAGCAGAAATCAGTCTGGCTATAGACAACAGTATGGGGTAGTAGAATGGACTAGAGGTTACAACACTCCCAACACAAAAACAGATTGCTTGGTCCAACAAGTCTCCCATATTACTCATCCTGCAATGCAACCCCTCAAATTTTTGAGAAAGCAGAAGATGGTAACCCCAGGCATTCTCCAGCTGAGTGAATTCCACAACCAAATAAACCGACAGTATCTGAATCTGCAGCCAATCCCACCCGCAACCCGACCCCCATCTACCACTCAAACACTGTCAAGATTTTAAAAAGGAGGCATCTTGGAAACCTGAGCCAATAACAGATGAACTGAATCTAAGACTGCAGACTAGCACCAGCTCAACTAAACTCTACGAGGAACATACTTATCAACCCCTTGCCCTAAACAGAGGAAAGGGAATTGGGGGAGACAAAGCAAAAAATAGTACACTTACAAAATACAGTAAATAGCAGCCGATACACAACTGAACAAATCACTGTAATTAGCAAACAAGGATGTTAAAACAAAAATTATAAATACGTTAAAAAAATTATGAAAGTACCCTAAAATCAAAGTCTGAAAAGAAAAAAAAAAGAAAAAAGTTTAAAAATTTTTTAAAAAATTATAAAAGAAGATGGATATAAATGCTGAAGAGATGAGGTATTTTGGGAGAAAAACGGACTCTAAAAAAAAAAAACTAAAAGAAATTCTAAAACCAAAAAGGCACAATATCTGAAATAAAAAATTCAATTAATAGGCCAGGTGTGGTGGCTCAAGCCTGTAATCCTAGCACTCTGGGAGGCTGAGGTAGGCAGATTGCTCAAGGTCAGGAGTTCAAAACCAGCCTGAGCAAGAATGAGACCCCATCTCTACTAAAAATAGAAAGAAATTAATTGGTCAACTAAAAACATATAGAAAAAATTAGCCGGGCATGGTGGCACATGTCTGTAGTCTCAGCTACTCAGCAGGCTGAGGCAGGAGGATTGCTTGAGCCCAGAAGTTTGAGGTTGCTGTGAGCTAGGCTGATGCCAGGGTACTCACTCTAGCCTGGGCAACAGAGACTCTCTCTCCAAAAAAAAACAGCAACCAGCAGCCAAGTTCAATGGAATCTACATACTTTAACTTCTTCTTTCCTTTATCTTGTATATAACATTCCTGAAAAGTGCCACTTGGAGCAAACTAAAAAAAAAAAAAAAAGGGGGGGGGGAGACATTAACAATGAAAAACTCTAAGGGATCTCTACAAGCATGTGTGCAAGAGATTATAAAGAGAATGATAAACCGGGCACAGTGGCTCACATCTGTAATCCTAGCACTCTGGGAGGCAAGAGCAAGAGGATCACTTACTGTCAGGAGTTCAAGACCTGCCTGAGCAAGAGTGAGACTTCATCTCTACATAGAAAAATTAGCCAGGCATGGTAGCAGATGCCTATAGTCTCAGCTACTCAGGAGGCTGAGGCAGGAGGATGGCTTGAGTCCAGGAGTTCCAGGTTACAGTGACCTGTGATGAAGCCACTGCACACTAGCCTGGGAGACAGAGGGAGACTCTGTCTCAAAAAAAAAAAGGGGGGGGAGGGTAATCGCAATGACTTGTAAAGTAATTTAAATAAAATGCTGCTCTGAATCATAAAAGTATATATATTCGAGACTAAAAGGCCTTTAAACCCACAAAAAGAAGGAAGGAATTAAGAAAAGGTACAAGGTAGGGAGAGAAAAAAGAAAGAAATAGTTAATAAAGCCTCAGCTCACTTTCTTTTTTTCCCCATACAATTAAAGTACATGATACATAAACTAAGAACAGAAAAAAAAAAAATAAAAATAAAGTACATGAGAATCCTAAATACTGAAAGAAGTCAGCAATTTACTATTATCTAGCTGAGGATACTCACAGGGAAAAACATGATTTCCTATTAAGGAAACTTGGCACACAAAGTCAATGAGTCAAAAGAAGACAAGAACCAAGGAAAGGAACAAGCTGGGAGTGGAATCTTCTTCCCTGTCTGTTCTTAAAATGTGGTTCAAGAACTATCTACATCAGCAGAGTATAGTGGCTCATGCCTGTAATCCCTAGAGGCTGAGGCAGGAGGATTGCTTGAATCTAGGAGTTGGAGACCAGCCTGGGCAACACAGCTAGACCCTGTCTCTAAAAAAATATTTCAAAAATTAGCCAGGCAGGATGGCATAGGCCTATAGCCCAGCTACTTAAGAGGCTGATGTGACAGGAGCATTTGAGTCCAGGACTTCAAGTTTGCAGTGAACTATGATTATGTCACTGTACTCCAGCCTGGCAACAGAGCAAGAACCCATCTCATTCATTCATGTATTCATATATAAGTAACTATCTACATCAGAAAAACCTGTGGCTTTTATTTAACCAGTGTATCATTAAACCCCGACATAAACCTGCATAACCAAAATGTCTGGGAGTTAAGCCTATACATTTTCATTTTAACAAAACCATAGGTTATTCTTAAACCCATTCAAATTTAAAACCCTTTCCCCTCAATTCAACTTTGTCAAAGGTGAGGTAGTCAAGCTGCTCATTTAATTAAATTCTATCTGCTCTGGCAAAGGCCTTCAAGGGGCAAATACTGCTTCAAGTATTAATTAACATTAAGAAAGAGAAATTCTGTGCCCTTTTCTAGGTCATTTTATCATCTATGAAACTAAACAGTGTATATCAAAAGACTGCAATTTAAAGCCTGGAGGTGAGGAATAAAGGAATAGGAGATAGAAAGTTATACAGAGAAAATAATTTTCTTGTTTTTTTATTACTCAAAATGGGAAAAGAAATTGCGCAATAAATTAGAAAAGAATATCTGTAAATTAATATAGTATTGAGTACTTGTGTGTGTGTGTGTATATACACTTCCATCCAACTATAACAGATTGGTTATTTACTTGCATATGCCATTCTAAAAAATGGTTATGAAAACAAAAGTATTAACAAGTTATATTTAGTGAAGGAAAAATCAAAAAGAAAAACACATATATCGTATGTTTTTAAAATACATACCAGGCAGGCAGATGGGAGGGGGAGGAGGGATGGGTATATACACACCTAATGGGTGCGGTGCACACCATCTGGGTGATACCATGTTTTCCCGAAAATAACACCTACCCATAAAATAAGCCCTAGCAGGATTTCTAAGCATTTGTGCAATATAAGCCCTACCTCGAAAATAAGACCTAGTGATGGGTGTGGCTACGTAGCATACCTGCACAACCCATGCATTTCGTCACGGAGTGGTAAAGAAGTTTTCATCTGCCTCATCCTGACAGCTACTATCCCAGAGGTGAATGGAAAGGTGCAGGCAGCCCCACCAACAGGCTCCCCCTGTCAGGTCCTGGCCATCCTGTGCGTACTGCAAGCTGAGGCTTTGAGGGGAAAATAACATATCCCTTGAAAATAAGCCCTAGGGTGTCTTCTTGAGGAAAAATAAACATAAGACCCTGTCTTATTTTCGGGGAAACACGGTAGACACACTTGAAGCTCTCACTCAAGTGGGACAAAGGCAATATATGTAACCTAAACATTTGTACCCCCATAATATGCTGAAATTAAAAAAAATTTTTTAAAAAAAAAGAATAAATGCACGTCAAAAATAAATAAATACATACTAGGCTTAATTTACATAATTCCTTTTAAAAAGCCACTCTCATGAATTAAAAGATGAATTTTTAAGAAAAGATTACCATTTGGTGCAGTGGGAGGTGACCAGATGCCATAATATTTTGGCAAATATTTTCGTAGCTCTAGAAGAACACCATCAGCACAATCAGCAGCATAAACCTGAAACAAAGAAAAACACTGTTAGTTTCTTAGAATGCTTTATAACTGTCCTGCACATTTCTCAAATAAAACATTGTGTTGAATCATAACTGAATCATGATTTATCAACTGTAAGTAAGTTGGAATAGCAAAAAAGATTACTGTGTGTATTCAGTGAATAACTATGTATTATTTAGAGTACACTCTTCTTGGTTATCTATTTCTAGCCTTTCACTGTCCTTGAACTATTTTACAACTAAGTTATAGATAACTGATAACAAATGCAAAATAATTGTTATCTATAGACATGCAAATAAATTCTGGCCAGAGGAGGTTCAACTGACTTTCCTATATGTTCCATGGGAGAAGGAAATTTAGTATCCATATATAAACTCATTTCACTCTGCCTTTATTCCATATAAATTTGTACTTCTTTGACTTCTCTTTTGAACCAGTTTTAACATCTGCCTAGTTCCCTCATCAAATAATGAGTTAAAGAAAATCTTCAAATGTATTTATTTTGATTCTGTAAGGAATTGTGATTTTATCTTTTTTTTTAAAAAAAAAGTATCCTTCAACACACTGTAAGTCTAATCATTGCTCATTTAATTCCTTGATTTATAACCACTAATAATTCTTGATACTAGAAATTTCTAATATCCCAGAACTAGGTTTTAGTATTTTTCCTGAAAAAAACAAAATATTTTTATTTTAAAAACTACTTGTAGGACATTTTATCCAATGAACTCTCAATGAACCAGGAATAAAGTAGATCTCTATGTACTGACCTAAACAAGTCCATGGTATATTTATAAGAGAAAAAAATAAAAGGCATATTGCACACATATACGTACAAGTTCATGAAATTAAGATACACCTGAGTGTATCACCTCTGTAAAACACACAGGAAAAATTACAAATATGCATTTAAAACATCATAGTTTATTCTGAGATAAAAATGAGAGAGTAGAGAGGTAAACTTTCTATTATTACTTTAAATATTTTTTAAAAAGTAGTGGGACTGGTGTTTACTGCAACATGCCAGATAAGATAATTCAAAAAATCCTTCTATCTAGAAATGTAAAGTAAAATATAACAAATATTTTCTTAGATTCATATCTGAGCTCTCAAGGAAAAAAAGGAAACTCATAGGCATCCAAAACTAAGAGGAAATAAAATGTGGTAAGCTGAGTAGTGATGTTTGGGCTTCACAGAAGTTCACACTGAATACCTGAATCAAAGGACCTCTGAATTCAGGCACCAGACAGAGGTGAGGGCAGAGTTATTATACTGAAACATGGAGAGTAGAAAAAATTCCAAATATTGAACAGTGAAAAGACTGGCTTCCCTCTCCCTTCCCAACCACTACATTCTAAGAATGCTGGCAGCCAAGCTGATTGAGAAAAAGAGAGAAGCAAATAAAAAATATTAGGAATAAAAAGGGAATCATAACTAGATACAGCATGATTTTTTAAACAATACTATGAAGGACTCTGCCAAGTGGGCAATTTTGTATCAAAAAAAAAAAAATACAATGGAGCTATATTCTACTATCACATTAACAAAAAAAATCTGAAGACCTTTAAGAAACTGAATCAGTTGTTAAAAATCTGTCCCTTCCCAGGAAAAAAGGAAAAACGGAAAGAAAGCATGAAAAAAAGGAAAGAAAAAAGAGAGAGAGACAGACAGACAGACAACAGGCTGCTCTGATGAATTTATAGATAAGTTCTATCAAGGCCTGTAAAGAACAAAAGCCTTATCTGATATAAATACTTCAACAAAATAGATAACTCATTTGATGAAGCTAAAAGAAATGTGATATCAAAGCCAGGTAAGGACAATATGTGAAGAAAGTAATAGTTCAATTTCATTTATGCACATAGCTAGAAAAAAAAATCAAACACTACTAAATAAAATCTAGCAATGCATATTATTAAAAAAAAAAAAACAAATAAAAAGACATGTTCAAGTAAGTTTTATTCCAGAAACGAAAGGTGATGATAATATAGAAATCTATTATCATATTTTACTACATTAACAGATTAAAGAAAGGAAAATCATACAATCATTTCCATAGCTACAGAAAAGGTAGCTGAAAAATATTCAATACTCCTGTGTCAAATTGTTTCTTAAAATAAAAATAGGAAAGATGTTGTGTATTTTTCCTTCCCTCCACTCTTCTCCACCCAAGAGGCTGACTTGAATCAACTGTAGCAGGGTTGTTCCTTGCTTCTTTTTTTCTTTTTTTTTTTTTTGGAAACAGAGTCTTACTCTGTCACCCCAGCTAGAGAGTGGCCATGGCATCAGCCTAGCTCATGGCACCTTAAACTCCTGGGCTCAAGCAATCCTTCTGCCTCAGCCTCCCAAGTAGCTGGGACTACAGGCATGCGCCACCATGCCCAGCTAATTTTTTTCTATTTCTGGTAGAGGAGTCTTTCTCTTGCTCAGGCTGGTCTCCAACTCCTGACCTTGAGCAATCCTCCCACCTCAGCCTCCCACCCAGAGTGCTAGGATTACAGGCATAAGCCACCACACCTGGCCAGTCCCTCGCCTCTTGCCATTGCCAACAAGAAACTGGAGGGTTGGAGTAGAGCTGAGGTCAGGTTATTTACTTCTCTAGCTCCCTCCTTACCAGGCCATAGGCTCCTCCTAAAGTTATCTTCCCTGTGATCCAAGAACCACTCTCCCTCCTTGCCCCTTCAGGCCTGGGACAGTATAACTTTATATTATCTTTTGCAGGTTGCCATAAACTCTGGCCACACCTTTGTAAATAGTCCCTTTATTAAACCAACAGTGTATCATTTGTTTCTAGACAAAACCTTTCCTTAAGCTGAGAAGAAACAGCTACCGCAAACTCAGAATGAGAGAAGAAATGAAACAGAAAATACTAGATGATATCACATGCAATAAAGCACTGTTTTCACAATGCTTTTATTTCCATTATATACACACAGTAAACTAGGACATGCTGTCAAATATATTTCTTACTGTGAGTCACCAGAAAACTGAGAAATACTTTGAATATGACAAAACAAATCTTACCTGACTTACCATATTATAGAATTCCAGCTCTCTTGGGCCCCTTGGAGGTGGCTGTAATTGTTTCAAAACTGTGCCGTCTGGATGTTGCAGGATACCTACGTAAAAAAAATTAGAATTTTTTAATGCTCTAATAATAATGTAACTTGCTGCACAAAACAGATTAAATGTTCCTAAAGCGACAGGTAAAATAATTTCATAAATTTAAGGATTTACTTTTACTTATTTCAGAATACTCAACCAACACGTTTTAGTACTTGTTATATGTAAAACATCAGAATATAAATTCGAAATAGCTTAGTTTGTCTCCAACCACACTGCTCCCTCATGGCCCCCTTAGACTTAAAATATGTGTTAAATTTTTACAAAAATTTCTCAGTGATAGACTTTCCCTGAGATGTTAATTGATAGTTAAACAAAGAAGCAAGTGAAAAGCAACAGCACAAATTGATCCCACTTTTAAAAACAGAAGGAAAAAATACATGTTAACAGTGGCAATATATAAATTTCCTACTTGGTAATTTTTTACAAGTCTCTCTCATCTGTTATAAGAAAGCAACCAACAAATGTTCCTGATTCAGATGTACTGTATACAGTTGTACAGACAGTACAAGGATATCTAGCCAATGGGAAAAGTGACAGCAGAATCAGGCACCAAGCCTGGAGCAGGAAGGGGCACATTTTTATAATCTGACCATTCAAAGGGGGAGACTTTTTCTAAGCTCCTCATACGGGTACCAACACTGGCCCTATCCCTATCCTATGAAGACTTGTTCCCAAAATTTTAAGTTAAAATATTAAATGTTTATGTATTTATCATAAAATCATGCTAATTAGAACAAAATATGGCTTAAATAAATCTATTTAGAACTTGGGTGAAATATTCCATTTGAGTTTCTATTTTTTTTTTTTAGCAAGTGTTAGAAATTTTTAACCATGGCAAAAGTGCAGAATTCAATCATTAGAAGCAGAAAGTCTCAACTAAAAAGGTATAGCAATAAATATTTTTAAGACCTAGCTAGAGAAGGGAGGTAAATGTTAATCTATATGGATAAGATTGATTGGCAAACAGTCAAAAGATTATGGGACTTCAAGGAGTAGTCTAACATACCTAAAAATTACTGAAGAGGAATTCTGTTCCTGAAGGTTGAGAGGGAGAACAAGAAGGGCCTTTAGGCCCGGCGCGGTGACTCACGCCTTTAATCCTAGCACTCTGGGAGGCCGAGGCAGGTGGATTGCTCTAGGTCAGGAGTTCGAAACCAGCCTGAGCAAGAGCGAGACCCCGTCTCTACTATAAATAGAAAGAAATTAATTGGCCAACTAATATATATAGAAAAAAATTAGCTGGGCATGGTGGCAAATGTCTGTAGTCCCAGCTACTTGGGAGGCTGAGGCAGGAGGATCGCTTGAGCCCAGGAGTTTGAAGTTGCTGTGAGTAGGCTGATGCCACAGCACTCACTCTAGGCTAGGCAACAAAGTGAGACTCTGTCTCAAAAAAAAAAAAGAAGGGCCTTTACTCCCATGGTTACGACGTTTTCTATGGGGCTAGTGATGAGTGGTAGATGCAAAGAAGCCTTGAGGAACAAAATTTTAAAGGGGAAAAAATGGGGCATTCATAAATGAGCAGAGAACCATGGCAGCTTCTCTACTTTGAGGTAGGCACCTGGTCTAGATATAGGTAATCTTCCTATTAGACAAATGCATTTTATCAGGCAAGCAGAAATCAGTCTGGCTATAGACAACAGTATGGGGTAGTAGAATGGACTAGAGGTTACAACACTCCCAACACAAAAACAGATTGCTTGGTCCAACAAGTCTTCCCATATTACTCATCCTGCAATGCAACCCCTCAATTTTTGAGAAAGCAGAAGATGGTAACCCAGGCATTCTCCAGCTGAGTGAATTCCACAACCAATAAACGACAGTATCTGAATCTGCAGCCAATCCCACCCGCAACCCGACCCATCTACACTCAAACACTGTCAAGATTTTAAAAAGGAGGCATCTTGGAAACCTGAGCCAATAACAGATGAACTGAATCTAAGACTGCAGACTAGCACCAGCTCAACTAAACTCTACGAGAGAACATACTTATCAACCCTTGCCCTAAACAGAGGAAAGGGAATTGGGGGAGACAAAGCAAAAAATAGTACACTTACAAAATACAGTAAATAGCAGCCGATACACAACTGAACAAATCACTGTAATTAGCAAACAAGGATGTTAAAACAAAAATTATAATACGTTAAAAAAATTATGAAAGTACCCTAAAATCAAAGTCTGAAAAGAAAAAAAAAAGAAAAAGTTTAAAATTTTTAAAAATTATAAAAGGAGATGGATAAATGCTGAAGAGATGAGGATTTTGGGAAAAACGGACTCTAAAAAAAAACTAAAAGAAATTCTAAAACCAAAAAGGCACAATATCTGAAATAAAAAATTCAATTAATAGGCAGGTGTGGTGGCTCAAGCCTGTAATCCTAGCACTCTGGGAGGCTGAGGTAGGCAGATTGCTCAAGGTCAGGAGTTCAAAAACCAGCCTGGAGCGAATGAGACCCCATCTCTACTAAAAATAGAAAGAAATTAATTGGTCAACTAAAAACATATAGAAAAAATTAGCCGGGCATGGTGGCACATGCCTGTAGTCCCCACTACTCGGGAGGCTGAGGCAGAAAGATTGCTTGAGCCCAGGAGTTTAAGGTTGCTGTGAGCGAGGCTGATGCCAGGGCACTCCAGCCCAGGCAACAGAGTGAAAATCTGTCTTAAAAAAAAAATTCAGGCCGGGCGCGGTGGCTCACGCCTGTAATCCTAGCTCTTGGAGCGAGGCGGCGGATTGCTCAAGGTCAGGAGTTCAAAACCGCCTGAGCAAGAGCGAGACCCATCTCTACTATAAATAGAAGAAATTAATTGGCAACTGATATATATATGTAAAAAATTAGCTGGCATGTGGTGGCGCATGCCTGTAGTCCAGCTACTCGGGAGGCTGAGGCAGAAGGATCGCTGAAGCCCAGGAGTTTGAGGTTGCTGTGAGCTAGGCTGACGCCATGGCACTCACTCTAGCCTGGGCAACAAAGTGAGACTCTGTCTCAAAAAAAAAAAAAAAAAAATTCATTTAACAGAATTAAGTCAACAAATGAACAATCACAGAAGAAAGGAGCAATGAATATTTGAACATTAAGAAAGACTAATAGAAAATATATAAATTAAAGCAAAAAAAAAGAAAAGTACCTAAAAAGAAAAAGGAAATATAGCATTATAAATCTGTAGGGTACTAGTAAGCATTTTAACAAACATGTAGTTGGAGCTATCATCAGGAGAAAAGGGAACGGATCAGAGAAAAAATTGTGGGCTTCCACTTTCCACCTAAGACATAGAAAGCTAGAAAGAACATTGCTCCCACTTGATAACAAGAAACAGCTAGATAATCTACAAAATCATAACCTTTCTTGAAACCATGATGGAGCTGAGATAGTAAATAACAAAATGAACTCTAAGGAAAGACTCATACCACTATGAAAAGGTAGATGGGAACACTGGAGAAGCATGGGAAGATGAGGCCATCTTACAAGAAGATAAGAATAATACAGCTAAAATTTTTAACAAATATCTAAAGGCAAAGTATAGGTTAGGATGAAAGCACAGAACTCCTAGAAATTGCAAACATTTGCATCATCATCTCCAGGAACCTCTCTCTTCCAGGCCATCAAGATAAAGATTAGAGCAACCAGAAATAAATGATCCTCAGAGATATAAGCTTTGAGGAAGGGAATCACCACTACTGCAAGAAAAACAACCCTTTCCCCTGTGGAACAAAAGTCTTAAGCTGTTGAAGTAAGGGCATCAAATCATGTTGTCTCCAAAGCACAGGTAAAGACCTGTTGTGGATGGGGTAAAAAAAAAAAAAAAAAAAATATTCTCCTACCCTGGTAGTTACAGAGAGACAGGAAACCATACTGGATCCTGATTTCATAGGTCTCCTATTGCTGGGTGAGGGAAATGAAATTCTCATGCAAAGGATGTGCTGAAGACACAAGGCAGAGTTTGACTCCCACAGGAAAGGGTAGCAGGATCCCTGAATAAACTCCATTTCCAAGTATCAGGATTATAGAACCTACCCAACATTGCAGATGGACCAGGAAAAGAATATCTCTGCAGCCTAGTATCAGGCTAGCAATCACCAAAGCAAAAAACAACAGTACTCTACATTTGCAGAAAGGGCATGAACATGGAGAAAAACCATCTCTGAGGCTTAGGTGCACAAACACATAAAACAAAGGGTTAAAAACAGTAAACTGAGAAAAATCCTCTGGCAAATCAGACCCACCCTAAACATAAGGTAACACCAGTGGAATTTCAAATCCATGGTGCATTGAAAGGTATATTAGTGCATTGAAAGGCTCTGGCTGCCATAACAAAATACCATAGACTGGACAACTTAAACAACCGAAACTTATTTTCCCATAGTTCGGAAGGCTAAATTTCCCAGATCAAGGTGCTGATATTTGGTTCCTGGTAAGGAACTCTCTTCTCACCGTGTTCTCACATGATGGAGATTGAGAAAAAGCTCTCTTATGTCTCTTCTTATAAGGACATCTATCCTACAGGATCAAGGATCTACCCTTCTGGCCTCATTTAACCTTAATTACCTCCATAAAAGCCTCATCTCCAACTACAATCACCCTGGCATGTGGGACTTCAACATATGAGTTTTGGGGGACACAAACACTCAGTCTATAACAGAAAACAACTATAACAAAATGCAAATTTGGCTTAACTCTTCACTAGATTGTCTCAAATCACAAACACTAATAGTCAAGCAGAAGAGGTGTATTCATTTCAGTAATACTGTTTGCCTCAGTTGCTATAGTCCTACACATGATGCCCATTAGAATTTAATAAAAATTGTGCTGGGCACATTGGCTCCCACCTGTAATCCTAGCACTCTGGGAGGCCGAGGCGGGCAGATTGCTCGAGGTCAGGAGTTAGAAACCAACCTGAGCAAGAGTGAGACCCATCTCTACTATAAATAGAAATTTCTTTCTATAAAATAGAAAGAAAAACCCTGTCTCTACTAAAATAATAGAAAGAAATTAATTGACCA